CTTAGTGGTTTCTTAATAAGGGCTTCTCTCAATTAAGTGCCCTCCTACCTGTAAGTGCTCCTCCTTCTGGCAGAAATTTTAAATACACGCCTAAGTGCTTATTCAAAAAAATACTATAATTATATTTTTTATAGGTCCCTTCCCACCCCTGAACAATAATGGCCTTACTTGCTGTCAAACCAGTCTCCCACAAAGTGGCATTTAGTGGCGACTGCTCTGGTGGTTTCACAAGTTGTTTTGGCTTGGGTGGAGCAGGAGGAGGAGCTTCAACTCTTGGAGGTGGCCACATCATCTCTCCATCTTGAAGAACAATGGAACCACGCACCACTTCATCTTTTAGATCAATGGCAAATTCTCCTTTTTCTCCCATGGAGAGTAAGTACTTTGTAAGGTTGTTTGCATACAGTGTACTTGATTGAGTGGGCAGGCGGCTTGGTAAGTCAGTATATCCAACAACCTTTTAGGGTGGATTAAAACAGATGGTTAGGGGCAACAATTTTCTCATATTGGGTGTCAAAAGTAATGAATGATTGCATCAGTTTTGCTTCTCCACCCTTTGTATACCAGAAATCTTGTACCACCCATGATTAAGGCCCTTTACATATAGATATGTGCCAATCAATTTGAAGCTTATTAAGAGGAAAACAACCTCCTGGGCTCCTGGCCTTACTACTAACCTATTGCCCCCAAGAGTGACTAGTATCTAATTTCTCATTAACAACATTACTGCATTGCTAAGTTGAGGTTGAGTGCCTGAAACATCCATGAGCTTCCACTATTGACAGCCAGCTCCTAGATGGAGACTTCTTCAATCCTTGGCTGGCAAATCCTGGCAACTCAGCCATGAGCCCCCACACAGCAAAGGGAAACAGGCACCTGTCACACTGAATAAACAGTGGAAAGAGGGAGGGAATGGGTGGGAAAAACTACCTGGGAACACTGCAAGTACAAGCTAAAAGCACACACAGGAGCGCCTCAAACAAAGAGTACATGGAATTCGGACGCATGCGCACATGCGAAAAAATACCACTGACTACTAGAGAACGCTGATGCTCTTTGTTGTTAATGCTATTTAATTGCATTTAACTGCATTTACAATATCACCCCTGAATCAAAGTTAGGAGAATAAAGGAAATGATCACCATTTAAGAAAGCTCCTGATTGTTAACAAAAGTCTCATTGTCAGCACCTTAGGAATTGTTTAGAGAACAGTACAGAGAATACGCACACTAATGTCAATGTGTAAAGGGTTATAACAAAGTGTATTTCATAACTAGTCCACCCAAAAGGAGCCAAATAACCTTCTCTTTTTGAAACCTTGCAACAGACAGTGAGACATATCTTTGTAACTTACATTAACACCATTATGATTGTACAGTTCACCGGGCTTGGTAAGTTCACAGTTGCCTCCAGTCTCAGCAGCTAAGTCCATGATCACTGAACCTGGTTTCATTGACTCCACCATCTCTTTAGTGATCAGTTTTGGAGCAGGCTTCCCAGGAATCAGTGCTGTTGTTATAACAATATCCACCTCCTTGCACTGCTTGGCAAATAATTCCATTTCTGCTTTTATAAATGCTGGTGACATCTCTTTGGCATATCCACCAGTACCTGTGATAACGAGAAAAAATGTATTTACAGTAAAAATTCGTACAAAGACCAGCATATGTCTAGCAACAAGCAAAAATTGTTCCCATGCAATGGATGCCCATAACATGAAAAGTATGCCCCAGAAACCATAAACATTTTTTTTATTCCACATTCATAAAAGGTCTACATAAAAATGTAATCAAACTGTGATTTTCGAAATATGACCCAACTATTCAAAAATAGTTGTCAAATGTGTTCAATTTGAGCACCTCTTGCACACTAATTTCTTCCAGCTTTTGACAGCTGGACACCCCAGATTACAAGCTAAGACAGGCACCTTTCAAGAAACCTGTGATTCTCCAAACAACTGTAGAGGTTTCTGTTAATTTCCTTTAAAAAAGTATCATACACTGCTCTACAGCTATCCAAAAGGTAAGTGATCAATTGTTAAGGTAAGCTAACAGTGCACTGACCTTCACCAGACTCTTCAATCCCAGTGATCTCCAGAAACTCTGCACCAAGTGATTGAACCTGTTCCTTTACAGCTGCTCTTGTATCAAAGCCACGCACAATTGCTCCCATGTTCCTGGCTGTAGCTATTGCTGATAAGCCAGCAACACCACCACCTGGTTTTAATAAAAATAATTAATCAAAATTACATGTAACATTACAGAATCGTGCCCATTTAAAAGCGTCGCCCGGGAAAAGTTGGGTGTCCATGATACTTTGCGAGTGTGATGACCTGAGAATGAGGTTGCAAAAGCTCACCGGCAGTTTCGGTCTCTTAAGATCTGAATTAACGAATTCCCAAATGGGAGTTGTAAAATTTCACTTAGAGACAATGGAGATACAATTGAAGCAGTTAGTATTGTTTGAAAGTGATGAAACGAAGTGTTGTTATGGTAAAGCAGAGTTGGAGCTGAGCATGTACTTACGTGGAGCATACTTAAAGTGCCCATGAAGTAAAAATTTTTTTTGCCCTGTTTGTTTGCTTATGTCTTGATGAACACAGCTAAGCGATTTTGACCGACCAAAAGAACTTTCTTGTATTATTTTTTGAACCTCAAAGTTTGGATTTTGCAATCTGTTATTTATTTCTGCATGTAATATCTCGGCTTAAAGACGAATATATCTATGTTTCCTTTCAGTTTGCTGTTTCGAAAAAATTATGTTTGGAAAAACACTCACCCATAAGCAGAGAACCCTTCTCTAGCTTAAATTTTTGAGATTTTGGTAAAGTTTTATAAAAAAATCGCTCAGCTCAAGTAAATAATTTTACATTGGATTAATTTTTAAACAATATTGCCTAATCAAGATTACGGCTATTCTTCTTCGATGAATAGCCTAAGGGTTACGTTTCAGTTGTCTGAGCAAGAAACAATACCTGCAAACACAGCACACATGGGGGATTACATGATCTACAGTCAGATTGACAGGCCTGCATGAAGTTACGCATGCTCTCTTTCTCTTTTCTAGCTTATTTGCATTTTCCCGTGTGACATTTTTCAATGGGCACGATTCCGTAATGTTTTTCATTGATTACAGTAGGTTTCTCAAACAGAGCAAGTTAAAATGAAGTGATGCAAGTGATCCACGATTATACTCGTTCTAATTCAATTGGTGATTGTGACTGGCATAAGCTAAAGCCATCACGATTTCGCATCTTGTGTTTTCAGGCATTACTGCCAGTTTCTGCCTCCCACAGTAAAAGGCCCCTTGTGACACTTTCCCTTTGCTCTGATTGGTTGTTGTGATTACTCTAATTTCGTATTTATGATACTCATTTGGGATACCCTCTGAAATTTGCTCTTAAATTAAGTAACTACTTCTAAACTTATTGTAAACCCCTACTTTATCAAATGCTCAAGGAGTTAAATAAAATAATAAGTCTGCAAGCACAACCCCACTAATGCGAAAAGAGGTAAATGTACATGTAAGCAAGAGTGATGAATAGAAAAGTACTGTCACTTTGTAAACAACTTGTGCTACAAACAATACTGGTACCTTCTCTGTCAAAGATGAATTCTGTTGCAACAGATTTTGCTAAAATTTTTGTTTAAAATGTAATTTACTGTTTAATGTAAAATAATATTTCAGAAAGGGAAGAGAGATAACTAGAAAATGATGATGTGATATGCATTATTTTACGTATGATGCACGATCCTCGCAGTAGAGAGCGCTATTTATGCATTACGCATAGATATCATACGTATCTACAACCGCAGTTCAAAATATATGAACTTCATATATTCACTGTATGCATTATTTTGTCATTGATCATTCTTACAATTTCATGATTGAAAGGTAGACAAAGTCAGAACAAACAATGAGCTTAAAAAGACATGTAAATTCTAAACAATGAAACAGAGCATCAGTAATAAGGCACATGAAAGGACTACATCAGCTGACCTATGACAAGAATTTTTGCCGGGGGAACTTTTCCTGCAGCAGTGATCTGTCCAGTAAAAAATCTTCCAAACAAATTTGCAGCTTCAATAACTGCTTTGTAGCCTGCTATGTTGGCCATAGAGCTGAGGGCATCAAATGTCTGTGCACGGCTTATCCTTGGAATACAGTCAACACCAAAAGCTGTTATTTTCCTTTTTGCTAAAACATCCAGCAAATCTTTGTTTTGGGCTGGGTACAGAAAACTGATCAGTTTGCCACCCTCCTTCATAAGATTAGCTTCATTTTGTTGAGGTGGCCTCACCTAAAATGGACAAATTAATGGTTTAAGCCATTCTCTCTGAATCACATGTTATGTCTTTATTTATGACAGTGTGATAGAATTGTTGCAATATAATAGGTAGCTTTAACATGCAGACCAAGTGTGTATTTTACAACATATAATGATGTAAAACATTTTAACTTTCTCCACTCGAATGTTTAACCAAACATTGAGTTGGCAAATATAATCTGATTTCAGCTGAGCAAAGCCAACAGTACCTGAACTATTAAAATTAATTCAATCAAATAGATTCAGCACAGATGTAATGAATATTTAATCAAATATCTTTAAGATAAAGGAACTTAGAATTTTAAAGTCATCGCTTCTTTCAAATTATGCACCAATTTAGACTATAGTTTAATTGCCTCAGCAACTGATTAGCAATAAGAATCATTAAAAAAAAATTAAGAAAAATAAATGTACTCTATACAGTGGTTCTCCCTTCTTTTAAGCAATACAGGTGAATTCTCCAGAATTCTACATGCTTTTAGGTGGGACATTGTAATAAGAGATACTACATGTCCCACATTTTACCAGTCACTGACTGAAAAATAAAACACGCACTGTCTATACCTTGAACTGAATCTATAGAATGACATAGATTGTAAAACTGATAACATTCTCACCTTAAGTACAATGTCAGAGCCTAGAGCCTCCTTCACTGACTTAACCTCTGCTCCAGCAGCAAGATAATCAGAGTCAAGAAACTTAGCCCCTGCACCTGCTCCTGCTTCAACCACAACATTAAATCCCTGTTTAGTCAGCTGTTTTACAGCTTCAGGTGACAGCGCAACTCTCTTCTCTCCATCATGGATCTCTTTTGGAACACCAATCGTTAGCTTGTCGTAAGGGACACCACTAACTGACTCAGGTACAGATTTATCTGTCACACAAAAACATTATTAGAATACACTATCTGCTTTCTCTTTAAAGGAAACTTCTTGGGCCCTGCACAACAAATATTTTTGGCTGTTCATAGGGTGTATTAAGACATGTAAAGCCCCTATTGCAGGATATAAATTTCTCCCAATTCAATAACTAGGGCCCAGCTGTTGGAAGGCCGTTTAGCACTACACATTCAAGGTGAAATTTTAATTTGGGTTTCTTTATTCCCTTGTTCAAAAGCCTTTTTGGGACAACTTTCTCTATTCTTTTAAGAGCATCAAATAATCAAATACTAGACGAAAAGAAATATACTGATTTTTTTTTTTTAAGCCATCAGATGTGAAATCAGATTTCACACTAACCCTTGGTTATCCAGCCCTGGTTTCAAAGAGTTTCAGATTGTCTTTGTTTACAGCAAAGTCACCTCTTAATTGTGGCATCTTTCTGCCAACATATGACCACTTACCTCATTTTTCTAAATCATTTTAACACAGTCCGTTTACATGAACATGTTGAAAAAGTCATTAGGCTTCACAAAAATATCCACTTCAGTCAAATTACATGAAGTTGAAAGAGGGACTACTTCCAGTCTAAGATTGCTGGTATACCTTTTGCTTCATTGGCACAAAATCTCACAGTTCCTGCCAGGAGTTTTGGGTAGAAATAACAATCCTGAAAGACACAAGGGGTCATTGTAAATACCTACAATTTAAATTCTCCTTGATATTTTGTATAGATTGCAAGGTAAAACTTTGATAAGAATCAAATCTGTAATGAATATTCAAAGGGGTTTCAATGAATTTTTCCATAAGCAGATAGCAATGGTATGATATGCAGCTGTGCTTAGAAAGAGGCGGTAAGGCAAAACCCAAACACAAGAGCCTGCTTGCATAAGAAGTATCATTGGCTACAGTGGACTGTCAGTAATCAAAATTAATTTTAATGAAATCCCCTGAAAATGCAGGGCTCAAAAAAAATTTTTCCTTTTCTTGGCCAAATACATGTACACGTTTTTCATACAAGGAAAGGAGCCTCTTGCCTACCTTCCTAAAATGAATTCTGAGAAAGGTTCATTATAATCTACTTCAAAAGGGAGAGCAACTTCAAATGTGTGTATATCTGCAGGATGGCTATAGCCAATTGGCACAATGTACAATTACATGTAGGTCAAAACCAAAATAAAACAGAACAAATCCCTATTATACCAACTCCTTTTTCAAGATCTTCTTTGCCTCTATTTTCACAATTTATAATTTTGTAAAGAACTGTCAAACCAAAAATATTTGTAACATTCTATCGAAATGTGACTGGCATTATTTAGTTTCATTTCAATACCTTCACTGACAGATTTACTTTTTACCTTGAAAGTGGAACATCTTGGTGAACAAGTGTTCTTCCCATAGCTACCTAATACACTCTTGGTCCCTAAGAAAAAGAAAAAGAAATAATAACCTCAATTGACTCTGGCCAAAAGTAATTCTACCTATTCACAATTTAAATCTTGTTTATTTTGGCAAAAGAAAAAATTTTTGCAGGCTCTATAACAACAAGCAAAAGCCGTGCAGGATATAATTCATATAATAATAATTTCTAATAACCAATGTACTACAAGCTAAGAGTGCTCTCTTGCAACAGCATAATCTGTGTGTTTCCGGAAAATTTGCAAGAGAGTCAAATTTGTTCTTGCTTTTGATTTTACTTGACCAGTCTCTGGTTTTCCACTGTATGCAAAAATAGAATAAACAATAAACTCCAGGGTTTCAAAAACTTTTTATACAATTATGCAGCTGCTGGTTGTGTAAAGCCAGCTTTCCCTGGAAAAGGGGTTAAGGTGAAACCCAAATGGTAGAGCTTACTTGCAAGCTAAACTGAGAGTAGTAAGCTGTCTTATATGCCGTAATAGACCACCAGGAAAATCAGGATAACACAATTATTTATCAAAAACACCAACATTCAACTTAAGGGAAACTGAAGCCTAAAATTAAATCCTTTTTAAATTGCAGCTTACAGCTCAAATTTCAATGTTCAAACATTTTTTTCTGTCTTTGGGCCCACCTTCGCCTAAAAAAAAATTAATAGTTCTAGGTCATATTTTGACCTCATAGTACAGCAGCTCAGAAAAGTGATGTCAGCAAAAACTTTAACGTGCTATTGCATTACTTGTGGGAAAGATAATAATCCCATACTCTTCCTTTAGAACTCCAGTATGGTTACGGAGTTATTGAAGTTGCATTGCTTGTAATGGGAATCAAATTCAAAAATGTTATATGATACGAGACCTTCTCAAGTTAGTTCCGCACCACTAATGTCATATTCAACCACTGCTAAAATGTTTTTGAGCCTACAGTCTTACAGCCACAAGAGCAGTAAAAAGGCAAATTGAATCAAATTTTCTCATAAAAAAACAAGAACTGAATGAAATTAACCACTGAAACTTTAACTTACTCCTCTAAAGCTCACTAGAAATGAATGCAAAAAAAGTACTAATTTTAGGCTTCCATTATCCTGTAAACCTACCAAGTAAGGATTGTCCATGGAAACGCCTGGCCACACTGAGACCAGCTCTGAGGAACATTCTAATGCACTCAGGACCTGATGAATGTGCACAAGGCATGGAGGTTTAAACTGATGCATATAAAAAAAATGTTTGCACAAGTATGCAATGGTTTAACAAAGCATAAAGGTGCCACAGCAATTATAGAATGATAATAAAACCCTGTTCCAGTCAGGCTCAGCTTCTTCACAGCAACAAACTGAAAGCATATTCATCTAGCAGATGGCCAGTTAATTCCTTCTAAAACTGAGAATTCAGTGTCAAGTTCATTCAATGTTCTCTTATTACTGGTTTGCTGTCTCTTTGATAGTAAAACAAAACAGTGAGAGGGATTCATCTTTTGGCATTTAGAGTTTAAGGGGTTAACAACTGGCTGATTAAGTTGCTTTTATCACAAAATGATTTGTAATTAATCAAGTTAAAACTAATGTTGAAAAAGGGGGTGTGTTGGAGGTGGGGTAATTAACTTAAACAAAATGTACAGAGCTGATTGTCAAAAGGATCTAACAAAGTACAACTGCTCCATTAGCAAGAACAAACTCAATGGCAGAGACTAGGAGCATCAATAAACTTAATTGCCTATTAGTGCATTTGCAAGGTAATATGAACAACGGTACACAGGCAAGTTAGGTGTATAAACAGTTACCATGTGTTTTTATTAGCATGTGACCTAATGCTGTAAATGCACTATAGAGGTACCAAATTAAATTTTGCAATTATTAAACCTGTTATCTTAGATTCCATAAATGAACTTCACTTCATATATAGATCAAATGTTTGACGGTGTACAAGTGCCATATACCTATTGGCGTTGAATATTGACGAGGAATGTATCATTTACATTTGTTTTTTTGCAGGCACCAGAGGGTAAATAATTATAATAAGAAAAACAAGTACACAAACTGACGGAAATTGAGTTAAATCTACACAGCCCAAATAACATGCTTATCTACGTGACCTAACGCAGCAAAGTTATGTTTCTTCCCAATGTGATGTGCGTTTTCCTGAACGTATTAGGACCCAAGAAGATTATGACAAGTATCTATCTCTCAAAGAAATAGAACTCCGCTTTGCACGCAATGCAAAATATTCTAGAAACCCTCACTATTACACCAAAGTCGAACAGAACTTTGCAAATGTACGAATGTATGATAATTAAAAAATGTACTTCAGCTGCTGTTGGTAAGATGCTAAGCCCGGCAAAGGGTTTGAATGGTTCATTGTAGGCTTAGGTCCTATGATGCGATGTTGTTTAAGTGATCGAAACAGAATCACAGAAAGGCTAAAAAGATTCATAATCTGGAATAAAACCACACTGCATCTTCTATAATGACTAAAAAGTTAAATCGTTCTTGCGTATGTTTCAGCAGGTCTCTTTGTTTTTATTCTTCCGCATTTATAATTTAACGTGACCGGCCATATCACCAAGAAAGGCGCCATTATTAAGCTAGCGTTCTTCGCAATATTTCAGCTTGAGTAATGGGAGTGAACTTAAAGAAGAAATATAGCACTAAGGTCTCACCTTGCTAGGAGTCCTTTAAAAGGACTTCCTCCGAGGTATTTCCTTAGAGTGAAAGTAATTCTAGAACGAAAGTCTGCAGCAACCCAAGCGTTCGGTCGGGCGCTCACTACAAGAACAGAAGGCTTGGCTGCTCATTCAATAAACAGAAACAAACAAATGTGGACCAATCAAGAATCACCAGCTCATTCCCTTGAGTGCAAACCCGCCAAACTTGAATAACTTGATTGATCAGACGATACCGCGGACAGAAGTGTCTCCGCGGAATATCTTTTATTTTCAAAACAGAGGAAGGTCTCACGACGGAAGAGCAGATCATTTATTTCAAGGTCATCCCCAAAGGAGATCACATTCATCAGCCAATGCTGATCATTTCAAAACCACAGGTCACAACATATTAAATCTTGGGCTATTTTGCGTTCGGCAAAATTTCGGAGACCTTGTTCATTAAAGAACTTCAGCCAACCTGTAGATGGTGCTAAACATACTAAACGTTGAGTTTGATAATAATGCATGTTTTCAGAATGTTTGTCATCGCTGTTCTCTCTATTTTTTGCTCAAACTATAGTGGCCTAAACACGAGAGTTAATTGTTATCATTAATATCGCTGCTGTTTTATTGTTATCATCATTATTACAAGTTATTAGTATCGCAGGATCGATAAACTTTTGTTGCATTTTCTCTGCAGATAAAAGCTGGGGCGGATCCAGGGGTGGTTCGGTCAAACCCCTCTAAATTTTCCCTCAAAATGTTGGAAATCATGTTTCCGAAGACCTAATTTTCAAATTCTCCCGGGGAAGCATGACCTCGGACAGTTCTCCGAACCCCGGCCTTGACTACATCATGGATCCGCCCTAGAAAAGAAGCGCCAGAATTGCACAAGGAGTATCAATTCATAGTAGTAACCTTCCTCTTTTCTACACAGATTGCAGCAGATATTGTTACATTGTGAACAGCCTACTTCTTGTATTTGTGAGAATTTTTTGCAAAATAAGGAGCTTTTGCGTATTTTCGTCCGCCATATTAAAAATTCCACCTCACTCGGTATGAACCAGCATGAGTGTGCGCGCTACTTCAAAACTGACAAGTTATAGCGTATGCAGGTTGCTGCTTGCACTGAGGCTTCGAGGGATTTTCTTCAATTTGTTTTTTAACTTATACTTCCCTACCAACAAGTGCCAAACGACTAGTCTCCTTTTTTCATATTCAAATGTTTTTTTTTTATTGTACTAACAAAATAGGAAAACAACCCAATAGAAGTCACTGAATACATAATTTGGCTCCAACTTCTTCGTACTTTCTGAGCTTCTTCTCTCGATGCTTTTAAAGGTACACAATTTTGAAACTGGCAAATAACAATTTAAAATAAAACAAAAATTAAAACCTCTCATTTTGTCATTAGACATTTTAGTTATCCTTGGAACAATAACTCTAACTGTCAGTTCTATATTGATTATAAAATGCATAAAATGAGGAAGATATCCAACAGATTGCTGTTACGATTAAGCCTCAAGTGACGCATTGTACAAATAAAGGGAAAGGGAAATTTTCAAAACCTCTTCCAGCTCTTTGTATTGGGAAGGAAAGCCGGATAAAATTGTTTGCTTGTTCCTAAAGTTGATATAACAATATTGCACGCAAGTAAGTATGAGAACAATTCCCAAAGTAGCATGGACAAAAAAAGGTGTCAAAAGCGTGAATCAGGCAAGCACTTGTGAAACTCGTTCTTATGACAAGGCTAGCAACATTAGGGTCCCTGTGCGACAAACCCACCACTCACCACTCTTGCGGACTCTTTTGAATCGACTTGAAACTCATTTAGACGTGACCATCTTTAAAAGAGAAATACAAAACGAAAAACCCAAACGCTGAAATCGCATTATCATTTGTTTTTTTTTTTTGTACAGTGATTTACTATCCAAACACATTGTCATATAGCTTTTATCGCAGAGACACCGACACGTTATCTCTCGCAGTCTAATAGAGAAAAAATGTTCATGGTAAGCGGATTTCAGGAGGCTTCTCTAACGATTAGCCGTCTTGATGGGCTCGCACGTGTTACGGGAAAATTTAGCGATTTTTTCCCTGTGGATGTTTAAGCATATTTATTCGTTTTTTTAAGAATTTTAGCGTTCTGAATTCATGCGAGTTTCTTTCACTGCGATGTTTTAAGAAGAAAAAAAGCCACAAGTAAATATTGAAAAGCCAAGTTAAATTATACAGCTGCATCTCGGTACTTTTGTTGTTCAATTCTAGTGAAATTTACGGTAACTGAATAAAAGTGTTAATGGTCTTTCCCGCAAAATTAGTTCTTATGATAGTTGGCAGCTGAGTTTATATACTCGTAACTTCAATTTCCTTTTTTTATGATCAAACTTAACACCAACCTTGCTAAGATAAGCGGAAACTTTGAATTGTATTTTTCATTTTGTTTCATTAAGCTGCCTCATTGTAATTTCCATGGGTATATTTCCTATACCAGAGCTGTGAATTCTCACTTAAGTTTCCTATTTTTAATGGCCTCGAGTTTATTGCATCCGTCCTTTTAATTGGAAATTATTTCCCTCGTAGAGACAGTTGAGAATATTTAAGTAGTTTTCATTTAACTTCAAAGAGATCTTTACGTTACCGCACAACAGTCCAGCGCTCTACCAATTGAGCTAACCAGGAGGTTACGAGTGACGTGACGAGTTTCCTTTCTCGCTGCCAAGTGGTCTCTACCGAGTTAATTTCCCCCTGTTATTGTTGTTTCGTCCGCAAAGGTTCAGTTTTCCAGTTTACAAGCGAAAACTTATCGTCACAGAGAACAAGCTAGTTACGAGTTTTAGCATGAAGTTTACAGAAACGGCCGGCAGACACTGATTAAAACTTTGAGTCAGTTTCATTAACTATCATAGAATTCTTTATTCAGTTCTCTTGTAAAATAACCGAGAATCTCTTGTTGGTAAATATTTTAATTACGAGTTACTTATGGCTAAACGCAGACAAGAAGAATGTCATGTCTTTGCTATTAAATTTTCTTTTTGCCGTAAACGTCTTCTCAACGTTTCGATTGTTAGGAAATTGGTTTCATTTTACATCACCTTATATGTACAAGAGGGTCTCAAAAGGGTTAACCGTTTGCCCCTGAAAAAAAGGAAAACATTTTAGTCGTTAGGCGTGATTATTGACAGATTGAAACATTTAATCATAAAAAAGTCGACTGTAAATATTTTCCACATACGATTAAAAATCTTAGACTGTTTGTATTTCTATTCATGTAGTGATATTTTTACTGCGGAAGTAGTACGCTCTATATGTCTACTGCAATATCTACAGTACCGTGATAAACTTGTTTGTTTTTTTTTTTTTGTCCTGGAAGAGACTTAAAAAAATTGACGACCGATCCTAAATGTGTTTTATTTTTTAAGAAAAACCAAAATTAACTATTAATCTTTTAAAATAATTAATTCTATGGTTTTTAACCGAACACACTATCCTCTTCCTAATTCATCGAGAAGCCGGTGGGAGTTCTAAATCATGGACTGAAAAATTGTGGTTTTAAAACCTCAATTTGTACATTTTACGAAGTAGGACATCTTTTAAGTGACCGACATTACACTCAGTCGTAACAAACAGTTCCATTATAAATGCTTGAGCCAGTGGGATTTCTGAGTTATCGACTGTATGATTGAGGATTTAAAACACTTTGTGGGTATTTAACTCAGTAAGACATCTTCCAAGTGACCGACATTTTTATTTTAAGTACTCAGTCATAAGAAAAAATTCCACTGAAACTGAGACATGACAATGAACCCGATGGACAATCTTTAATTGGACGCCTTGATGACATTTTTTGAAGAACATGAAATCAAGCCTGCTGTTTAACTTTTGGTATCACTAAGAAGTATTTCCATGAAAAAGAAAGAAAGTCATATTAATCCTAGTCTCCCTTGCAGCCATTTACGGCGTCGTCACGCAACCGAAAACTCCCCCACCAACGTGACGACGCCGGAAAGGGATGCAAGGTGGGGGAATTTTCGCTTGCGTGACGACGCCGCTGCAAGGGAGACTATATTAATCCTCGGACAGGAAAATCTCTTGAATGTGTTACCCCATGCATAATTGACTTTTTTACCCATGCCCCCCACAGCTCACGACTCATAGACGCCTGCAATCAGTGGCCGAGTAGATGTTTGTTTATTTGCCTCAGCAGGGTGTTTTGTAAATTATGTCATCTAATCGAAGTAATTGACTTTGCTTCGGAAGGGTATAAAATTGAATGAAAACATTTGCTGTGAAATTCTGGCTTAGACGATTCTGAGGATACAGATCATTGTTCAAACTGACACAGAGTTTGAGACATTCATTGCATTATGAAGACCCAAACTGTTTCAATCGCTTTTGCCGCTCTTCTTCTTAATTTACTTTTGACTACGGAAACCGATTGTTTTACTGGACCAATACCTTCAAGTAAAAGAGATCATGAAGGAAAGGTATCATTTGTTCCTTTACATTTTATAGGTTATAAGCTGAAAAAAACATATAGTTATCAAAATGTTTAAGCAGATATTTTGATCTTTTTGTAACTATATATTGTTTCCAACTATTTTCATTTACCGATACCTTGCTTACATTATGGTGTTCAACATAGAAATCGACTTTATCTCCGCATGTATGTTTCCTAAGAATAGAGGCTGATAGTTTCTAAAGAAACTGTTTGGGGCTGCGTCGGTGGGGGTAACGAAATAATTTGTATATATCAACAAAGTTGAAATGGTAAATGGGCCACCGTAACGATTACAAAAGCTGACGTTTACGGTGGCCCATTTACCATTTCAACTTTGTTGATATATACAAATTATTATGTTTCCTAAGGTTCGCCAGAGAATCGTAATAAAGGACCTAACGCAAGCAACGACGGCGAACGCAACAAGGACGAGGCAAAACAAAAGATCTAATGGGCAGCTCATGCGATTTTAAACTTTTAAAACTTCTTAGCCGTTCTCTGCAAACAACGTGAAATCGCCAACATTTGCGCTGTCTGTGTACGAAAACCTAGACAGCAAGTCTCTCTTTGGAAGACAACGTTGCTCTCATACGTTATGCTGAAGTTGAGGCATGGTGCCGTAAGAGATGGTAAACAAATCCGGCCATAGACCCATCCACGGTTTTATCGGCCATATTGGTTGGGGGTCAAACAAAACCTCGTTGCGCAGCAACGAGCCATAGAATGTCTTATGATAAGAAGACGCGCATCGCTACCCTCGTTTAAATTTTCGCTTTGTTCAGGAAAAAAAATTAATATTCATCGTTGAAAATGAGAAGACATCAATAAAGGCGAGTGAATTTTTATCCTCTCGGCGAAAAACCTTTTCTTCTCTGCGTTTTATGGGAACATTGAGATCGTTTTTCTTTGGACGTGACCTCGTGGCCGACATAATGTCAGAAGCCAGAGTACAGCTTTTCCGAATGACTTTTTGTATTTAAGTAGCTTAATTGTGCAGAGGAAAAATTGAAATAAATGTGTTTACGTGCTCTTTAAACCTTTTCGTCCGGACAGGCTAACATACTCTTGAAAAACCAGTAACTCGGCAAAGAGAAACCCTTGGGTTAATGGGTTTTGGAGATAGGTGTTCTGTCGGCGGCTGTAAGAACGATAGAGGAGATCCGAAAAAATGGGTCATCCACTCACATGTACAGAAGTTATCGTTCCACAAGCCCAAGCAATCATTAATTGAAGCATGGTCTCGACAGGTTCAGAAGAGAAGAAAATATTTCTCAATAGGAAAGTCAAGGGAGAGTGTTGTCGTCTGCTCCAATCATTTTCGAGACGGGAAGCCTTCAGTAAGCAATCCAATACCTACTCTTTTTTTGACTCCTTTTGAGCATTCAAATTCTAAGTCACCCAAAAGGAGGCGATTATCAACATCGGTTGATAATAGTGATATCATCACTGCAAGTGACGAATTGATGAAAAGTGGAGACGATTCCCCAGGGTTAAAACTGTGTACAGACTCTGCACAAATAACCAGAGATGCTGATGTTCGACTCCATACTGGCATGCAAAATACAGATGCTTTCAGAACCTTATTTGAGTACTTACTCCCACCACCTAAAATTTTAAAACTACAAAATATCGATGGCTAAAAAACATATTCTAATTTCTCAACCGAAAGAAGTGCTTTTTAAAATGCCATTCTCGCACCATGGCGGCCACGAGGTCACCTTCAAACAACATATCAATCTTCCCATAAAACGCAGTGATAAAAAGGTACTTCGCCAAAAATTCGGTACTTACTTTTAGTGACGCCTTATCTATGTTCCCACTAGATTTGGAGACGAAAATAAGCGATTTTCCCTTTATTAAGTTACGATATTGAGCGAAGGTACCGACGCGCGTCGAATAATTACATATATTGCTTGTTGCTACGCAACGAGGTTTTGTTTGACCCCCAAACAATATGGCCGTAAAAACCGTGGAAGGGTCTGAGGAGTAACGTCATTAAAGAGATGGTAAACACATCCAGTGATTCGCGAAAGTCGAAAATTTACTTTTTATCGATACTCTCTCTCTGCCTTCTAACCCTGACTACTTAAGGTCCCTAACAACAGAATATGAAAAAAATTTAAAATTTACTCACTTCTTTTCGTAACCAATTCTTCTGATGATGTTGTTATGGGAATAAAATTCTTTTAAGACGAGTTAAAGCGGAGTTTCTTTCAATCATTTAGCCTCTTCGCTTTTCTCGCTGGTTTGGTTACTTTAATCTCAAATTTTTTTATTGATATTTACAGTTTGACAGAGTAATTAGGAAGGAAGAAGGGAAACGAGCAGGAAGCTTTGGACGCGAAGGAATGGACAAGAGGTTCTCTGACAAATGGATATCAGGGGAAAAGTAGCCATGTTTACGTGGAGTTGAGATCATGGTGACGTCATCTAAACATGATAGTGGAAAAAAGTTATGTAAATCAAATGATTTAAATAAAAAAGGGACAGAAGGGATTAAAAAAGGAGTAACAGAAATTAAAGTTCTCTTTCTTGAATTATTTTGGGAAATGAAGGAAACCAACTGATTTAAAAATTAAATTCTATAAGTTCTTGCCAGACATTTTTTAATTGTTTCACTCGCTGCAGTGTTTCTTGATCAATCCATGAGACTTAACACCATAAAAATTTGTCACATTTTTGTTTAATCTCCATTTCTAAGAATCCACCATGAATTGGAACTGAGAAATTGACATACGTTCATGACAAATGTTCACAATACCTTGAAATGTGTAAAAAAGGAATAAATTAACTCCTCTAGATTTCCACAAGACTTTATTCTTGATGATCTCCGCACAAATTCAAGACTTTCCGCCCGAGTTTCCAACAGATTTACGACTGAACTTTCCTTCTTTCTGAGTTATTTTTCGAGTCTACCACAACATGTGCGAAGTAAAAATCCTTGGTCAAATGTCAATCAAGTCATCATGTTCCGATTGGATAACTAGACAACAGTACAAATCACGTGCGACTGAGTAACGAAATCTATAAGTAACGAAAGCTATTTTCAACAAAATGTTTCCTAAATTGTTTCCTGTAAAAGTAAAAGATCCATGATTACCATCACCAATATAGAACAAGGCTCCACACTATCAAAGTATTAAAGCAATGCTTGTTCTACAATACAAGTGTAGTACCTGTGGTAGGCGTAGTTTGGTATAATATGGTGTTGTAGCTGTAGTTTGATGTGGTAAGTGTGGTTTGGTGTAGTAGGCCTAGTTCGTTGTAGTTTGGTGATGTAGGTATAGGCGAGTTCGATTCTCGAAGAAAGGAAAAACAATTCGAACAATGCTTTTGTTGCGCATTTAAATATTAACAGCTTACAAGACAAGTTTGAAGAACTAAAATTACTGAATCACGAACTGAAAGCCCACATATTTATTGTATCGGAAACAAAAATTGATCGTTCGTATCCTGATGACCACTTCACTTTGCAAGGATACCAGCTTTATTGAAAAGACAGAGCCAAGGGAGGAAGTAGGCTTATTGCTTATTTCTCTACCCTATACCCCCTAAAAAACTGAAACTACTAAAAGCCTATTAGGCACTGGAAGCTATAGTGGTTGAATGCTGTATAGAAAGAAGAGAAATACTGTTCTTAGCTCTTTACAGGCTGCCCCAATACTCCAGAAAGTATGATGATCCCAATGGATCAAAATACCAGCAAATCTTTGAGGACGAAATGAATGATATTTGTCAGTGGGCGTGTCTCCAAAAGCAGTGCTTAGTCATTTTGGATGATTGAATCTGGACCGCATTATTCCTGAACGAGAAGAGAGGAAGATGCTTAGAGATCTGGAGCAAGTATATAACTTGACATGTCTAATAACTGAGCCTACCAGAGTTACAATACATTCCCAAACGCTCTTGGACGTTCTGCTCACTAACACCCCACAGCTGTTCACAAGGTGCGGAGCGTATAACCCCGAAATAAGTGACCGCTATTTGATCTATGGAGAAATGACAGATAAAGTTTGTAAGCACAAGCCCAAGACCACAACATTCAGGCAAACTAAGAATACTGACTTTGAACTGTTTAATCAATATCTAATTAATGCACCCTGGAATGTTGGTGACATCTTCACCTGTGTAGACGACAAATATGATTATTGGAGAGGGCTATTTGAAAGTGTTGCCAATCAGAACGCGCGACTCAAAAGGAAAATAGTGAGGAAAAAGGATACTCCTTACATGACATAGGAATGGAAAAGGGCTTTTAGAAACAAAAGGAAGTATGCTAAAAAGTTTGCTAAAGACCGCACTGCTGAGAACCTGGAACTGAAAAGGAAGTATCGAAATATAGCCACACGGGAGCACAAAAAAGAAATTCGAGGGTACTGGTACACTAAGACGGACGAACTTAGATCAACACCATCGCAATTTTACGACGCGTTCAGACCTTTTATTAGTAACAAGAGCAAACAATCGGCAGTAATATACCTTAAAACGGGGGGTGATAATGCAATAAAGGATCAGACGGAAGTGGCAGAGATACTCGCCAACTACTTCACTAACGCGGCACTAGGCATCGGCGGAGATCACGTAACTAACTTTACGGAAGAGGACCACAGTGACCATAGCAGTGTTGAGACCATACGAGTAACCCACAAAGAAACTAATTTTGAATTTAAGTTCTTCACAGTGGCTGCAGTGGAGCAGGCACTGGAAAAGATAAATCCAAAGAAGACCAGTGGATGGGGCACAGGACCACCACCAAAATTACTCAAGAAAGTGGCTAAAGGAGCAGCAGCATCGTTCAATGATCAGCCTCTACAACAACTGCATAGAGCAGAATACCTGGCCTAGCGCATGGAAGATGGGTGTGAAGACACCCATCTTCCATGCAAAAGCGGTAAAGAAAACGACGCCCTTAAGCAACAGAGTAGGAAATCAACCCTGCAAACTACAAAAAAAATCCGTCTCCCGCAGCAAAACCTGGCGCATGCGCATACGTCATTTAGCTATGTCGCGAAAGCGCTAACAGTGAGCAGCCAAGCCGCGATCACGATCGTTTGCGGCTTTCTTTCTTTCTCTTTTTTTTTCTTTCGCTTGCTGACGATCGCGGCTTTGCTGCTCTCTGTTAGTGGCTTCGCTGCTAAAAAAAAAAAGAGAAACCCCTCTAGCACCCACGGTATGCTAAACTTTCGTTTTCATCGAACGTTTACTGTAATTTAGTGACCTGGCAAATGCTGTTGTCTTGTGCGGTGTTGTTTGTTTCGCAAGTGATTCCTCGAAGCTTGTTCCTTTGGTCTATTTTAATAGATTTAAAAATCTCCTTTCAAACTCAACATTAAGATAAAGGAAAATTAAATTCAAGAAGATTTCATTTGCCATGCGATCACAAAATATGGTAACATACTTCTCTAGTAAATCGAAGTGCTCGTGTATGCTGAAATCTTAGTGATGTGCAATATGAGATGATCGAATATCCCCAAACTTTTCCAGAATATAGATCTGGATGAACTATTTCTAGTAAAAATACTTTTAGTTCTATTGCATCTTAGTATAATTTCAGAGCTAAGCAAAGAGTTTCCAGCAATCCGATTGGTGGAGCGGTTCCTTATATGACGCTGTATAAACCGCTCCACGCGATTTATATAAAATGTTAAAATAAAATGTTAATAAATGTTACTAAAATGTTATGATTTTAGAAATTTCTCTGAGCTAAGCAAAGAGTTTCCAGCAATCCGATTGGTGGAGCGGTTCCTTATATGACGCTATATAAATCGCTCCACGCGATTTATATAAAATGTTAAAATAAAATGTTAATAAATGTTACTAAAATGTTATGATTTTAGAAATTTCTCTGTTGTTCAGCTCTGAAATAATGCTAAAACAATTATTCGCCTCAGGTTCGGTGAATATTGTCGAATTATTTGACGATATTCACCGAAACTGAAGCGAATAATTGTTAATTATTTTACGCGAACGGCGGCAAAATTGGTTTGGTGGCTCTCATGTCAGCTTCACGATGTCCAGACAACCTATTATTTAAACGTCGCTTCAAAATTAAAAAAAAAGGTGTGTAGACCTTGTCGCGCTGCTCCCGGAATATTCCGGGCGTACGTGTTCGTCTTTGTGGACGGGTCCGGTCCCGGCGAAGAAGTTCGGAATATGTTGGGCTTAGATAGGTTTATGGTCACGTGCCAACCCAAGGGACACAAAGGGACACAAATTATGCGCCTGACATAACCCTCGCTCCAGGGGGCGGGAAGATGAGAGACGCTGGGAACGAGGTTGTATCTAACAGAGTTCCGAAGATCCGACCGAGGAAAGATCCGAGTAGAATAAATCATCATGAAATATATTTTGTTGCGCGGTAACACTGTTAAACAAATTAAAGATAGCGGCCAAATATTGTATTTGTTGATGAAGGAACTATTGATGAAGTTGTCGGCGAACAGGATAGCGATTTAGATGAAAATACGGATGATTCTGAAAGCAAGGAAGAATAAGATGACAGAAGAGAAGAAGACAGAGATGGTGAGGCGGAGAGCGAAGAAGAAACCGAAGAAGACATTCTCTCGACCAAGTGAAATATACAAAATTTCTGGGAATATACATCGATGAAGAACTCTCTTGGAAGTACCATATTAACCATATTGTTAGTACCACATTAACCATATTGTTAGTACCATATTAACCATATTGTTAGTACCATATTAACCATATTGTTAGTACCATATTAACCATATTGTTAGTACCATATTAACCATATTGTTAGTAAAATCTCAAAGATGACAGGAATAATGGCCAAGGCAAGACATCACTTAACCTCTAAAACATTGCTAACTTTATATCATACTACTAAAAAAAGTAATTTACCCCTACTTGAATTATCGTAACATCATTTGGGGGAGTACTTATCCGACCATCCGACTATCTTCAAGATACAGAAGAAAATTGTAAGGATCATGACCTTCTCAAATTATAATGAAGATACAAGACCCTTGTTTGAGTCCTTAGAAATACTACAAATCTATGAACTAAACACATAACTGACAGCAGTTTTCATGTACTCATATTACCATGACAAGCTTCCTGTATTTATTAATAACTTTTTATTACCAATGATAACTTACATTCTTACAATACACGAATAGTGTCACAGATGCATATTGAATTTCATAGAACAAATTATGGTAATTTTTCTATGAGATATAGGGGAGCTATTGTATGGAACAGTCTACCGTGTGAGATTAGAGACATAAATTCTTACAATCTTTTCAAAAAATCACTAAAACTTTATGTTTAAAAAAATTATTTGTATTAGACTTATTTGAGTTTCTATCAGCATGTTGAGAATATAAAATAACTGTGTATTTGCAAATCTCTGATTGAAAAGAAAGACATTAATATCTGCCGTCTATTATTAGTAAACTATCTCAAATGATAGTATAATTAAATGGGATCTTTTAAAAAGCTCAGCAGAGCTTGCTAGATCTCCTGCCATATCTTGTTTATAATAACAATTATTCCACGAGTGCGTCTTGGGTATGAGATGATAGATAGCCAACGAGGCGCGTAGTGCCGAGTTGGCTATAATCATCTCATATCCAACAAACGCGAGTGGAATAATTGTTTTATTTAAAAAAAACGCTCCCAATATATTAGACAAATCTTCTCGACTTTATTTTGTAAGAAGAAATCTAATGTTTCAATGTACAGATATTAGATTATGGTATATTGGCTGATATACCATAATGGTTAAGCCAATAAAAAGTCTTGAATTGCATTATCCTATGATCCAGTTTTTAATAATATGT